ATACCACCCCCCAAAAGACGAGTCGCACAACTGAACAAGACTATAATATGGTATACGAACATATTAATGTTGACACAGACTAGAATCCCACTCGCAATAGAACTGTACAACCGATGATCAGGAAGTACACAGCCAGAGATTTGGTATATTCCCATATCAGGGGCGTGACTAACTAATTTTGCCTGGGGAGGCAAAGCCACGTGGGGGTTGTTGTCTTGGCAGTTGGCCATGGGCATTTCCCATGTAATAATATCTATTTATTGGTCTGGGGACAACTGCCGCCTCCACCCCTGTTCCCCCCTACCTACGACCCTGCGTACCTAGCTCAGTACTACGTGTTTGGGTAAAGTTAGATAATACGCCAGGATAGCTGTTATGCATGAAACCATATATAACCAGTTATAGATGGACGCATCATGGCGCGGCTTAGCGCAAGCTATCGCCAACACCCGCGTCGTGCACGCATGCTAGATTGCGATTCATTCGTTGAATGTATAATATATGCAGGCCCGTAGCCAGGGGGGGTTCGGGGATTCGTGCAACCCCCCCCCCCGAGCAAAAAAAAATAAAAATAAACTTTTCCTTTTGAAAATTTGCAAGAATTTCACCTCAGGTATGCACCAGATCGCTCCATTTTAGTGTAATAATTGCAAAATCCCCCCCCCCCGGGAGGGTGAACAGTGAACACCCCCCTCCCACACCCCCCCCCCGCTCGGTCGCTTCGCGCCCTCACAAATTGCCAACATTTAAAAACGAACCCCACCTAATATAAAGCTGGCTACGGGCCTGTATATGCCCTCGGTAATAGCTACGCACAGCGAACGTACAATGCTCGTACAGCCGCATCGTACATCCAAATTATTTGGTTCGATAAAACCCACACAAAGGAACAGAACTGAGAAAGTCCTGCCGACCTCAGCGACATCGGGCCAGGTGACTGACGGATTTTTCCGAACGATCGCATCAATAATGATAATAATCATACAACAATGTATCGAAGTGCTCAACCGTTTAAAAACTGTTTACAAGTGAGCGGCTAGTATTGATAAGAAAGTTTCCTGGCAACCAAAGACAAGACTAGCTCACGTATGGAGATGATACGTGTAGCACTCCATATCACTGGGAGACAACGTAACCTCGAGGAAATCATATAATAATGATTGTTAGACAAAGAAAATTATATGATAAGGAATGTTAGACAACGGAAATCATATAATGATGAATGTTAGACAGAGGAAATCGTATGATAAGGAATGTTAGACAGAGGCAATCGTGCCACTGGAATGCTATACGGAATGGGTTCCATGAGGAAATTTGAACAACCATTCTATACACTTATGACAATAGACGCGTTCACACACAAGAAAAACCGCGCTGCTCAGCCCGCTAATAGCGGAGATAATAGTGAGCTAATTGTGTCGTTGTTCACACAGGCGAATATCTCGCTAATCGCCGCGGTGCAAATATCACGCCGCGGTGCAAATAAGCGCGCTGATTCCAAATTAGCCCAGTCAGAAGTGGTCTTTGGAGCGCGCTATTTGGAGCGCGTTTTAGTGAGCTAATTGCGTTCACACTTGTAAAAAGCTCAGTTTTCCGAGCGGGCTGCAAAAACCGGGTTTTGCAGCCCGCGAATTCGCGCCAGTGTGAACGCACCTAGTAACTAGTATTGGGCAATACTACTATATTGCAGCCATAGGCGTTATGCAGGCCAACACTGTGACTTATTCTTGTTTACGATGATAGCACAAGTAGTAACAGTAACTCGTAAAAAGCACTAAACCATTCATTCCGTATGAAACAAAATGCCATAACGCAAAACTGCACGACAGACCGACCTATTCAACAGAAACAACACAACAGCGAATGTTCACGTTTTAATGCTAGTACACACACCACAGCTTCGCAGTGTACGCTATAAAAGAAAGTAAAAAGGTAGTTGTCATGTCGTGAATTCCACACGACACACTTTACACGTAAGTACAAGTAGCTAAAATTCGAATTACCTGCTCACAGAACAAGAGACCACATTAAAGTCAGCAGCCTAATGCGTCATGAGTCTAACATGGAATGACAAGCAACAATATACACAGATATATTTGCTATACTTTCGTGTATACCGACAACTGACAAGGGATCAGTCACAGAATTACCTTTACTTGCCCTATGTTTAACACAAAATGCAGGCAAATTAATGTGTGGCCCCATTAATCCACATTTCCTTACTCGCTAAAATTACATACCCTATACGGTATATAACTACTATACACTATAGTAACATATATCTCTATATATTAACCAAATGACATACCTATATTACAGCCCCGTGCTCTACAACCATATGACCTAATCCAAATACATGAATTCCTCTCCTATAATATTTTCCTCTCTGCGTATAGCCTATCCATCTAATAATATACAGCTCTTATACGATCTATGGTTCAGTATCCGTGGTTTTCTAATATCCATTATTACAATGTGAGTGAAATTGACCGAGACTAGGGTCCCTGTATACAGAATATATGCTCTGTATATAGGGACCCTAACCGAGACCGGTTTCAAATTCACGAATGGCGTCATTTTCTTTAATACAGGGTGTCACCGCCTATACGCACCTCACACTAGCATAGCCGGATACCACCAAGAGCCAATAATACTATAATTATAATACTGTAATAAGGTATTTTTAGCTCTTGATATTACTGCAGTCAACACCCTGTTGTGCACGCCCTGACGCTTAGGTAGTGGCTACGGCGGGTAATTGAATAGTATCACGCAGCGCGAAGAACACAAACAGCTTCGTGTCACTGCGAGTTAGGTTAGGGGGAAGTTTGCGGTACACTGGGCTTCTCACTCGCTCGTACACGCATCGTATAACGGCAGCAGCTTGTCCGTTCGTCTCGCTCTCTCTCGTGCATCGATCCTGCCAGATAAAGAACTTCTTCGCGCGTTTCAGTCGACGTTCTAAACGCGCGAAGGAGTGTAGCAGCAATCGATCGCCTCTTTCCCCGCACACTGCCTTGAGAGACAAAATATCTATCCTTTGGCATGATGACGCGAAAAATGCATGCATAATGCAGTAGTCATGATTCGTTAAACTATCTGTCACCGAGTACTGCATGCGCCACAGCAACCGTCTACCACAAGTAGATAGAAGATGGAGACGGCGGGTGCTGTACGAATATATGCGAGAACATCAGAGCACAGGATAACACTGCACAGCGACCGACGAAGCGACGTTTCTAGAATGCCAGGTCGATGGGTCGACATACTCATGTCTATTTATGTCGTGTTTTTCTCATATATACATCTCTCTCTCTCTCTCTCTCTCTCTCTCTCTCTCTCTCTCTCTCTCTCTCTCTCTCGTCTCTCTCTCTCTCTCTCTCTCTCTCTCTCTTCTCTCTCTCTCTCTCTATATATACTATATACTATATATATATATATATACTTACTCTAGAAATGACTTAAATGCGAATTGTGCCGCCGCCAAATAGTTAGGGCTGAGAGAGCGAGCTTGTACGATTTCATCGGATAGTATCACCGCAACACGTTGACGTGTCCCGCGAGTTCGCTTTTCAGATCAGACCAACAACACGGCGTCTACCCTAATGCATCCAATTAACTTTACCGCTTTGATGCGTTGAATTGGAAAAAAGTGACACGTTAACTGAACGCGCGTTAACCTGGAAATTCACCATTTGCAGAATATAGCAGCGATGATACAGGATGATACACACCCGCGTGAGCGTGTTACTAACTGTTGCGACTAGGAGACATTCACCTACGAAATTTATTGCACATGTCGTAAGAGAAACAAGAAGCGTTAACAGGCTGGGGTCTGCCGATTTAAATAACTGTACGCATTGAGCAAACGTAAGCGCCTTCGCAACCATCAGATTCTCTCATACTTGTCGCATGCGGCTTCTCGTACAATATACATAACTAGATTCCCTTATTTACGATGTCTATAGTAAGGGCTTGGCGCCGAAATATGCCTTGTCAATAAACCGCGAATGAGTATTTCTATTCCCGAGAGAAAGGATCTTGGGAATTATTGCAGCGACAAACAATCCGTGCGCGGAGAAAGACAAAATGTCACATGGAACATATCAGGATGCGAAGAGATAGAAACGAAGAATTTTCTTGACCACTGACATTTCGATAGACGCTGTTTTTATACATGGAACTCTAGGGCGTCGTATTGCCCTGAAGCAGTCACTGCGGTGCCTGGATTAGATCAGAAAAAGGGCGTACGGTTGCAGATTACTCTAGAACTTCCCAGGATTTCCTTCATTAATATTACGACCAAATTGCAATACACATTCTTGGGTAATAATAACCGGTTATCTCTGAGAGCACTGGCGTCCTTGCAAAGTGCAATCGTTCACACCATAATAATAGCAACGAAACGTAGACTCGTCGATGTACTTTGTCACTTTCATGCACTGACGCGCAGCTCGTGTGGTTCAGCGAGCCTCAGTCATCCCCCAGGCCCCCGGGTCTCTCTACGAGCCGAGTTACGAAACGGAATTTAACTTTCTCGAGTAGGTGACCGCTTGCGACAACCGCAAGTGGATTGATCGCGCAAAACACGCGCTCGCCCTCATTACTTATTTACATACTCGATTCGACGCAAGCCACGCGTTTAAAATGTAAAATGTTGTTGTATAAATTCAACGGCAGACATTGCTACTGCGAGAGTGTGTGTGTGTGTGTATGTGCGCCGAGCGCCGCACTATAACATACAGCGACCTGAGTAAAAGGTTAAACATATTCGCCAATGGCAGTTCAAATATGCGACAGCTCATAGTGACAGCGTCGAATGGAAGCATTAGCACGAAACGCGATGCGCCTGTAAGCGGTTCCTTTCAACGTACGTCCTGCAAAATTTATCAGCGCAATCAGGTAAGCTTCTGTGAAAACGTGAAGCGAACACCAATTCGTCAGTAACTCAACGCCTCGGAATATTAATGATGTATATATATATATATATATATATATATATATATATATATATAAATAAATAAATATATAAATATATATATATGGAGTTAATAATAACAAAGTCATCATTTGTCAACATTTGACAACATAAGACAACATTTGTCATTATTAGCTCCTGATATATATATATACATATATAACAGTGAATATATACATATATAACAGTGATTCGCCTTCCTCACCCTATATCCACTTCAATAAATCCGTAATTGTGAGACAGCGTATCGTTAGTGTTATCTGTAACGCTTGCGATCATTACACCGACAGATGATCATGATTTCTAATCGGAAAGTTGACGTAATGCTACTGAACCACAAGGCGGGGCTAACCCAGTAAGACACAATGTCACTAATAGTAAATACCTGCCACTACTGGCTTCTCAACAGTTTTATTCTCATTAGGAACGTTTACCTGCGGCTAGGGAAAGCTGTGAACCACAATTATCATTTGCTACATTTGCCATAATGTTATGCACTGCCATTTTCCCCAATACCATTAATCATGTCCTCCCGTTTTCACATTTTCATCCTTTTATCCTGTTTCACATACTTCTGCTATCACTCCACACCCCTCCCCTGACCATCATCAGTTACTCACATTCGGAGCATGTGCTTAAGGGTGTTCAGGTAAACTATATGCAAGATTCAATCTTCTATTATTGCCCAGTATGTCTCCAAGCCGCAAACTCGCGTAATGTGTTTCGGGACTCACCGGACTCTCAGTAAATCTCACAGGACGATGAAGCCATTGCTCATCAGTAATGGCAAGATGAGACCGCGCAGTCTGAATAAGCTGCCATGGAGCAAGACTGTAGTGCTTAAACGCAGCCACATGACACACTGCTCACTAACAACGCACTATAAGACATTGCCGAGGCGGTAGAGAGTACAGTGAATTCATCAGGCAACGTCATCGCTACGACGTACAGATAGAAGTAGGAATCAGGGAGACCAGGAAATCCGAAGGGGGTCACAATCGTGTTTATGATCGATGCTTGTGGCGGTAATTAGAATTTGAGCGGATGCGTTGCTGACACAAACCTATAAACAAGACGACAACTCGCCGCCATATTGAATCTCTACTCGATTGGAATTTGTATATTGGAAACTTTCCGAACTTCTGTCAAATATGAACGCATAGTTTTATGCATCAGGCATCAACTTAATAACGACGAAAATTTTCAGCATATATCAAGCGAAGTTAAACTAATCTGCCCAATTAATATTCCTGTGATGATTTTGCAGCAGTTTGGCACAGTTGAATGCTCAAAGGGTGGATTACACAAGGAAAGGGTGGATCAAGTAAACGTCACCTGCACTACTGCTAGGAGTTAGCGCACGTGGCGAGAATGAGTATCACTTTTGCAAGGCTATCTCTATATTCAGAAGACCTGCAAAACACAGAAACGCCGAAACGCAGTGCAAACATAGCCATCAACAAAGTGAAACTTCAACACTGGCAATCAGAAAGTGCGAATTCCACTATAATAACTCTGCAATATATATATAATTATATATACTATATACATAATATAATATTCATAATACCTATATATATATATATATAGTATATATATATATACATATATGTACACATGCAATATCTACGTTTGTAGTAATGAGTATATGTAGCATGCAATGCAAGATGATGCAACACACAGTGGATGTTGCGACATACGATAGCGTCACGCACATAAGGGATTACGTGCACCTCTACCGTTCGGTTCATTCTCGCTTCTGAAGAGAGTGATGTGGTGCTGAAAAACACCCTCATTTGATAACATCCCATCAGCTCGCCTCCCCGCCTCAAACTGAACCCGGATTCGCTTCTCGTGAAGTGTACAGCAAACAGCTTCAGATGAATCAATAGCGAGGTGTAGATAAACTGGCGAGCTATGGTTAGCTGTTACAATGGCACGTTATAATGTACGTTAGCCGACCAAATGAGAAGATGCGGCAGCCTAGCTAGAATTCACACGGGTCGAGTGCGCGATTACATAGCCTCGCGTGCGTGAAAACCCCAAAACCAAACTGCATTCTATAGCATCGGTGTTCTGTAAGATCACAGTTAATACAGTAAGACTTGGCCATTCAGTGCACGGGTGAAGACACCCCTCTGAACTGCTTGCATCAAGCTACGATCCAAAGGAGGGGTCCAAGGCCAATCATTGCAAAGGAATAAACCTGTGCGCTCCGGCATTCGTGAATCAACTTGTTCGGCGAGCGCGATCAAATCCTTGCAAGCACGGATGAGTCTCTCAGCTGTCTTCCGTGCCCACCCACGTGCATCCTACGTGAAAATCCCTCAACAAACCTCATGACTTCGCTGCTGATGCCTTGCTTGTGACCACGCCCTCGCCCCCTCGCTCCAATTACCTTACATCGTCACACATTTTTCCGACATATCCGTCTTGATGGTGTTAAATTTGTCTGTGACAGATTTCAGGTCGACGGGTAGCTGAGCTGTAAGTAGACACAAAGGGCAAACGTTTACAACGCGTGCCACGCCCCGGTTACGAAGCAACATGCTAGTGAGAGATGCAGTGAAGCTATCAAACCACCCCTTTCAACACGTTCCACGCAAAAACAGTTTAGAATGTCAAGACCATAGTAGTAATGATAGTATAACGATTATCATTTATAACTCAGCTTAATTTCACAATCAAGACTTATGCTGAAATATTAAAAAACCGAGTTTAACATGTAATGACAATGACAAAATTTTTTGATAAATATTCATGAACTAAACACGATCGAAATATAACATACGGATTTCATCTATTTACTAAAGCATTTGGAAAACTGGATAAAATATAGTCGTACATGCATTGCATTGAATAACATCTCAACCCTGAAACGGATAAACGAATGGCATTGCAAAGATTTACATTTCTAGTGCATGAGTATACTTGAGTATACCGCATTACAGCCCAAATGATACCACTTGTAAATGCCACAGGGAAACAAAATCTAGGGCATATATTCTCAACCACATAGGTGAGTAACTTTGCAGCTATACATGTAGAAACGCAAAGCGACCAATGCTATTATCTGGCCAATAACTGCTGGTATACTGATCCAATTTATGGGAGGGAGGCTTGAGCATCGATCGATGGAAACCAGGTTAAGCAATGCTGACGGCATGTTACGCATCATTACAGCACATTGTGTTCACGCACACTCGCTCCCTCTCCTAGCTCCTCTCTCTTTCTTTTTCACTCAGACTCTTTTTCTATCTCTCTCGCCCCCTTCTCTCTCTCTCTCTCTCTCTCTCTCTCTCTCTCTCTCTCTCTCTCTCTCACTCTCTCTCTATCTCTCTCTCTCTCTCTCTCATTC